CCTTTATTTACAGTTGATTTTAGTTATCATTTCTTCAATTTGTCAAGTGTTTTATTTCATTCTTCTATGTTTTATGCGTTGGTTGTGTAGTTTGTTGTTTTCAGGTTCAAAATATTAAATCGGGACAAATCGATGCAAATCTCGGAGTTTTCAGATTCACTATTTGCACCCTCTGACTTGTTATTTGCACCCCCTGACTAGAGTTGTATATTTTTCATATCTTTTCCATATTTTCATATTTATTGCTTTTATTTATTTTTTTTTAATGGTAAAAATCCTAAAAATATTTTCTTTATTTTTTGCAAATTTTATTTTATTTTATTTATTATTTTTTGCATAAAAATAGTTTTATTAGGATAAATAGATTTTATTTCCTTAAATAATTTGTAAATACATTTAAAAATACTACATATTTTTATTATATTATTTATACACATAAAATATTTATTTTCTATACATATTTAATTTTTAATATTTGCACATGATATTATTTATTATTTTTCTTATACAAAAAAATGGACAAAATATTAATATGAAACATTATTTTTCTTTTAATTAAAAAACTAGGGTTTCACCCCTCCAAAAATAATAATATTATTTTTCCTTTCTTTTTAGGGTTTAAATTAATTGTTTTTCTCATACAAAAAAAAACAAATACCAAAACATTTTTTACATAAATACATTGCATTGCATTTTAAATACTTGTATATTTATTTAATTCGCACAATATTCGATTGGGTTGTAATAATATTTTTAGGTTTTATATTTGTGCAAAATCCCCATTCAAAACTTGTATCCCCCCTCCCATAATAATTGTTGTAATAGCTTAGTTTATTTTACGCAATTTATTGCTTTATATACTATATTTAGTAAATTAGGGTTTGCATGACAAGAACAAAAACAAAGAAAAATAGAAAACCTAATGCAAGACAAAAGCATGAAAAATGACACACTTTGCACACAAGCACCCTTAGGGTTTCTCCCACTTGGTTGCCTAAATTAAAATGGCCATGTTACGCATGCGAAGTATCTTGGCAAAACAAAATAAATATAAGATCATAGTCCCTCGATGATGCTATACAAAAGTTGCCTAAACAAAATGATCTAGGTCCCTCCAAAATGCTAAGATACATGACAATATTGCTATCATGGTCATATGATGACCCACGCCCATCCCGTTTACATCCAAAGATAGGGTTGCTTACCAAATCAATGGTAAGTCAACAATGTCTAAGGAATAAAAATACACAAGAAAGACATTTGAGTAAGTAGATTAGCTTCTAGTTACTTGTCCATTTCAAAACAATCCTTGCTATTTTCAAAAACAAACACACACACATTTCAAAACATCTTTCAAAACATTGAAAACATTTTCAAAAAGACAAACATCTTTGTATACATTCTTACGAACGAGAATCATTACAAAGATTTCCTAAATAATAGCCTATTTTCAAAATACTTTCAAAAACCACACCAAGCACCATTTCAAACAAAACAAAGCGAAGCAAGTGATCTAAACAAGTAACTAAGAGCCCATGGAAAGCCATGGATGAAAATGGTACTAGCACCTTCCCTTTTCATAATCTACCCCCCGAACTCAAGAAAACATCTCAAAGGTCTTTCCTGTGCTTTTTTACCTTTCCTTTTGGATAAAAGAAAAGTCGGTTGCCACTCTTGCTAACCGCGACATTTGCAAACACAAACACAAAACCTCAAGTCAGTTCTTCCACCGCATCACAGAACTGGCGACTCTGCTGGGGAAAATTCTAAAAGTGGGGTTACCTTAGGGTTTAGATCACCTTTATTTGCTTGAAATTGTTTGACTTGTTTGCTTTACAATTATGGTTCTTTGTTTGGGTTTGAATCCTCCACCCAGATTTGGGAAACATTATAGGTAAATGTTGTACCCCAAATTTTGACCTAAGATACCGTCTTCCATCTGCATTATTCGCATTGCAAGGGTTTTCACATATTTTATCAAATTTTCAAAGCAGTTTAAAAATTCATAACTTTTTCGAGTCAGGAGCTGTTTATTTGTTGAACGCTAAATTTATTAACTGATCAAGACTTAAACAATGTTCATTAATTATTTATTATCTTAAATTCAAATAATTGGAATTTATTTTCGATTATTACGTAATTTAAAGATTTATAAATAATAAAAAGATTATTTGAGAAAAGGTTTATTAATCGATCAAATAATGTTTATTAATTATTCATTATCCTAAATTTAAATAATGGGAACCTGTTTTCCGTTATTATATAATTTGAAGGTTTATGAATAATGAAATAAACATTTGAAAATGAGTATATTAATTGATCAAGCAATGTTTATTTGATTATTTATTGTTCTAAATTTAAATAGCTGAAATTCTATTTTTTCAAGTTATTATAATTTAGAAGAATTAAAAATAATAATAAAGTAAATGATTGAAGTTATTAATTGATCAATGATATTTATTTATTTGTTTATCATTCTGAATTTAAATGATTAGATTTGATTTTTTAGTCATTATATAATTTAAAGAATTATAAACAATAAATAAATAATTGGAAAGAAAAAGAATTAATTGAGAAATAATAGAATTTTTATTCACTTTATTCTATTTATTACAATTGTCATTTAAATATTTGTGTTATTACAAAATATTTATAAAGGCAATTACACAAATGCTTAAAGTAAAATAAAAAGCTATTTTTTAAATTCTAATTCTAAATCTTCCATCCAATGCTCTTGTTTGCTCATTTAATTTTACCTGCGAAAACAATTAAAAGAAAGTCAGAATTGAATAAGTAATTAAAATGCAGAAAATAAATTTAATGTTCATCATTAAAAGCAAACGGCCGGAATCAGTTTGCCCTTTTTGCAAATCGCGGGATTTCTCCCGGTTCACAAAAAGGGAGGAATTTTTATGAATGCATAATTAAAAAATAGCACATTTCAAAATCAATTGCATTTTTATCAAAAAAGCCCACTGCATATTTCAAATATGCATAAATTCATTTTGGTCAAAACTGCATCAACCATACAAAACAGCATATGCAAGTTCACAAACAAAAGCTAATGTTAACCTGCAACCACATAGGAGAGATATGCAAGACAAGAGAAAATGCAATTCCAACAATTTGCAATTTCAAACATGTGCAGTCTTAAAACTATGAATGCAAGCAACCTATATTTCCTCATTCATCATATTCCAGCCTGTTTGCTTTTTCAGACAGCAGTACAAGATATCATTTTTATGTATCATTTATGTACTTGAGAGAGAAGAGAGAAGAGGTTCAGTTTTGCAGGTTTTGGTTTAAGCATGAAATGGGAATAAAGTTAACATATGAAGCAGCATATATGCAGAACTTCAGGAAAATATATTAAATATACTCAAACCTGAGCCATCAAAGAGGCAACGGCTATATGAGAAGAAAATCCCTTCAAAAGGAAGTCTTAACTTGCATAGTAACACTACACCAGAACATCACTGCAAAACTATCCAGTAAATAACATATAGCACATCTCTACACAAGACATCACTGCTAAACTATTCAAAAAACCATATTCCATTTCCACACAAGATATCACTGCAAAACTAAGCAAATATAGTCCATTGCAAACCATTCCCAAACAGAACCTACAATCAAAACATTCAAAACCAGCATACTGCATAAAACTATCCAAACCATAGTCCATTGAAAAACTATCTCTAAGCATATTGCTAAACCACATAACCTGCATACTGTATCAAAACCATAAAAAACAGTATAATCCAAATCCATCCAAAAAACCAATTATTCAATATTCCAACCAGTTTTTTTAGACGAAGAAGAAGAGAAGAATTAGTAGCAGAAAGCAAAGAGCGAGGAATCTTCGGAGCTTACCTGACTTCGCCGGAATTGTACCGTCGGACTAGCTCCGACCATGTGAGTTTCTTCAGTTTTTCGCATAAACCTTTATACCGTTGCGTTGCCTTTGTCTCACTTAATAATACTCTCTTTAATTTCTTGAAATCATGTTAAATGGTCATTTAAAATCATTGCTGGTCTTAACGTCTTTGCCTTCGTCAATCTTACCCCTGCCCTGTTACAGCAACACGTTAAATCCCTATTTTAACACAGGCAATAATTTGATTGATAAATTTCAAAATTTCATAATGTTGCAAAACCAACGCAATCATAACATACTGTTAATTTAAAGCCAACTTGTAAAAAATACAGGAAATTCGCAAACCTTTTTCAACTACCCATTCGGACTTCGCGGTTCATTACTATCATCTTCATTCAATTCTTCTGCCGCTCTTAAATCCGCATCTGATACAACGATATCCTCCTTCCTATACTTTCATCACATTTCAATCATCTTCATCGGGTTGTTTCTCTACTTCAATCAACACACGCGCAACATTAGAAACAATTCAGACACAGAACTTTTCATAAAAAAGAGATTAAGAAGGCATACCTTTAACCTCTGTTTCCATAACCCCCATGTTGAAACTTTTCTTCGACAACATCATCGCGTTTGCATTATTGTGAACGATGTTCTGCGAATCCAACAAACCGTGCTTATCTCCTTTTGTAATCTCGTCCCTTAACCTTCAACATCATTACGGATTCAAATCCAAAACAAAAACCTTTATTTCATACACAAAGCATATCATTCAAAAATCTGAATTTGAAGAAAAAGGAAGCAATGTACCATCAACCTCCATCGTAACGTGCAGCTTCCTCTTCTCGCCTCAATTCCGCGACAAACACCTTTAACCACTATCCATTGCCGTCCCGCTTCCCTTCTTTACCTCCATCAATTTTCACCTTCTCTCTGCAATTATCACGATCACAATCGCACAGTTTTCCTCAAGGATCTTCATTGCTCCCTGTAATTAATACGGTATCAAGTTAATACAAGACCAACCACGGACACGTAAGCGGAAACGCGAAAATTAGAGGAGGAGAAACCCTTTGTCACACACACAGAAACACACTCTGCGAAGTAATCAAAGCAGGTAACAATGGGAGATCGAAGTAACGGTGACGTTCTGATGCTGGAGGCTCCACCGTCTTACGGTAGCAGGTCAAGCAATTCCGACGCCGAAATCATCGACGCACTGCCTTACATCGACGACGACTACAACAACCCTAGGGTCAAATTCGAAGTCGACCGTCTCGTCGAAGAAGAGATGCGCCGGAGCTCCAAGAAACCCGCTGATTTCCTCAAAGATTTCCCACCTCTTCCCACTTTCAATTTTCAGGAGTATCCAATGATTGGTAGAGAGTATGAGCGTGTGAGAGCTGGTAGGCCTCCAATTTCACTTGATAGGTCCAGATATGAGTTGGAACTGCCACCGATCAATAAAAGGAACGATGAAACTGCTTGGAAACTAGCTCTTCAAAAAGCTCAGCGACTACTTCAATATCAGACAATGAGGATGGAAAATTTGGATTTGTTGTTGAAATATGGTCCTGATGCCTGGAAACAGCACAACCTGCGATTGGAAGTATACTTGTCAAGAATGCAGAAATTAGCTCAGGAACAAAATGATAAGATTGAAAAAGTCAACCGTGAAGGAGATCAAGCTTTGATGACGAAGTGGATTGTGAAGGAGATCGGAACGAGAAGGAAGAAAGAGATCCGGCGGCGGCCATGGCACCAGCGTTCCAAGGGTTCCTTTTTCGCTACAGCTTTGCGTTTCATTTCTTGGGTCTGGGTCTTCCAACGACCCGGCCCATTTCCCTTAAACCCAAGCTCATTTTCTTTTTTAACTTAAGCCCATCTTTTATTTGCCCTTTAGTTAAACTCTAGTCATTTTCTTAACTTAATTAATCTAGACTAATTAGTTTCTTAAGAATAACTTATAGTCTTAATTAAACATTTTTTTTAATATTTTACCCAAATCTTATTAGTTTAAGTTTTAATTTAGTAAATCAAAATAAGAGATGTAACTTAAAACATTTTTTTTAATAATTGACTAATTTTATTAATTTAAACTCTTAGGATTTAATTTAATAATCTTAGTATCTTTTTTTAAATTAGACTTAAGTTAGTAGCATTAAGTTTTAATTTAATTTAAAGAATTCTTAAAAGTAATACTTTTTATTTATATTACAAAAAAAAAAACATAAAAAAAAAAACATATAAAACTAAAAAAATATTTCTATTAATTCTCGTTACTTTCTATCTATGTTAAAATGCGTAACCAATTAAAACATTTTTCTCTTCATATATTAAACAAAAATCCAAAAAATGCATGTTCACACTCAGTCTCTTATTTAATTTGTTGTATATCATTTATCTTACAATTTCCTGTTTAAATATCTCGCATTTACTTGATTATTCTGTTTGTGCCAATCCAAAGGGAATTGTCTAATTTTTGTTGACTTCATGTCCTCAAAAACGATCGAGCGAATACTCTCATTCATTAAAAGCTTAGGGTAATTTTTCCTCAAACATTCACCCTTTTCAAGACCTATACCTTTTAAGCAAAAAAACTTCGACATTAGGTCGTCGTATCTTCAAAAACCCGTCCATATCCCTTTTCGGCCAAAACGATTTATTTTCAATCAAGCGATCAATTTTAAATAAAACAGATATTTCAAAAGGTTCCTATAGAATACTATAGATACATTGGGTGCTAATACCTTCCCATTGTATAACCAACCCCCGAACCATAAGATCTCTTTTCAAAAACGCTTTGTATTTGTATTTTTATTTACATTGCATATTTAGGGTTTTATTTCGCTCTTTTCCCTTTTCCTTTGGAAACAATAAAGCGCGGTGGCGACTCTTGATTTTGTGAGACGAATTAATCAATAATTCGATCTCCGATTTACCCCGCTACATTTTTTATCGCTACAGTAAATAGCAATACGTTGTGGAAACTGTGCGGGGTATACCGACATGGTCTAAGCAATAGCTATATTAGTGTGACATATTTGTGGGTACCGGTAGCCTTTGAGTCAATCAAAGAGAATACGGGGCCGCTGAGTGATGTCATGAAGCACTAATGAACTTTTAGAACCTTTACTTGACCAACTTGGCCTTTTAGGATGTAGTGAGATGACCGACTTTGGTGCAGTCCGAAGTTGGTAGATACTCGATACTACACTCATTGAGGGTTGGTTTCTTGGGATATTTCGGTCGCTAGTAAAGAGGCTTGAACTGAAACTATGAAAAAAGAAAACAATCCAGTGATATTGAGCTCCTTAGAACTCGATTACTATTGTTAGGACAGGTTGAGCCAACTAAACTTCAAGAGGGTACTTACCTATGAAACCCCATGCAAGCCTAAACTAAGAACTTGTGTGATTTTCTTTTACATATATACTTCTGCATAACATCATGGACATCATGAACATCATATGCATTCACTAACCATTTGAAGGATTTTGGAGATTCATCTTTGTTCTTGTTTTGTAGGTTATGGATTCACTTCGCAGGAAAACTATCCAAATCAACCTTGTAAGAATTCCTCCACAACTCAAGGAGTTAGCTTCAAGGATTCCTGAGAATTCTCCATTCACCGAGAGACATGGTCATCTACTCAACTTGGTCACTTCCAACACAGGAGGATATGATGAAGGTTCTCTTCCAGTTCTTTGACCCTTTGCATCATTGATCAACATTTTCTGACTATCAACTTGTGCCTACTTTGGAAGAATTATCTCAACTTTTGAGGATTCCTATTCTCAATCAACTACCCTTCAACGGTACGGAAAGAGATCCAAAGCCAGAAGAGATTGCTCAAGCCCTGCACTTGCACTCATCTGATGTCACAACACATTGGGAAACTAGAAGTGGTGTCAAAGGCTTCTTGGAAAAGTTTCTGTTTGAGAAGGCCCAAAGCTGTTGGAATTCCCTAGACTTGTAAGCTTTTGAGGATATTGTAGCTCTTCTCATCTATGGGATGGTCTTGTTACCTAATCCTGACCAACTCATAGATGTAAGCGCTGTCAAAATCTTCATGTCTCGCAACCCGGTGCCTACATTGCTTGGGGATATCCTCCACTTTTTTCACACTCGTACAATAAGGAAAAGAGGTGTTCTCATGTGTTGCACCCCCCTTCTGGCAAGATGGTTTATTTCTCATCTTCCCCAATCAGTCTTGAAGAATGAGCAAGGTTTGAGGTGATAACAAAGGTTAATGAAACTTAACCATTCAGATATTCATTGGTGTTCTCGATCCAAAGAGAATGTTATCATTTTTTACCGTTGTGGGGAATTCCCTAATGTCCCTCTACTTGGAATTAGGGGAGGCATCACCTACAACCTGTGCTTAGCTCTAAGATAGTTTGGTTACGCCCGAAGGGATGGCCCACATGATAGACTGATTCAAGGATTGGTTTTCGACTACAAAAACGACGACCAAGGACTCCGCCAGAGATTCATCCGAGCTTGGAGGATGCTAAACAAGGTGGATAGCAAGACTTTGGGACACAAGAATTCCATCATTCTTGAGCCTTACCTCAAGTGGGTACAAACCCGCGCTCGAAGTCTTATGATGCCTTATCCCTCCATTCTCCCAGTGATTATAGAGCCTGTTAAGGAAGGAGAGGTTCCATACACCATCCTACATCCTGACATGCCGACATCACTCGAAGATCTACAAAGGGGTTAGATACAGATCACAGAAGAACGCGATACTTTCGAAGCCCAATTCTACGCAAGTGAGAAGAAGATTTTGGAACTCACTCAGCTACTTCATGAAGAGCAGACTCTCAACACCTACATTGCACCAAAGAGGATGCATAATTTCTTTTTACCTTAGAATTTTGTATTATTTTGCCCAAGGGGCATTGATGTACTCAAATTCTATTTTATCAATATGACGTGTGTTTCTTTTTTTTTGTTTAAATCAAATTTGAATTTCCGAGTCCTTGAAAGCATTGCATGAATACATATCATTCATCATAAGCATAAACAGGTCTTTGCAGCAAGTTTCCTCATCTCTCTACTATTTATTTCAGTAAGATGGATATCAAACAAACAGTCAAAGATCTGCAAGCTCAGAATTCACCTTAACAGTTACTCATGACCTTAGCCAAGGGGCAAGAGGAGCTGAAGACTCTGCTAGAAAAAGAAAAAGAGAAAGAGAAGAAGAAGCCAGCTGGTGTGGTTATCATGGGCAGAAGATTTCAGGGACAAGCCAGAAGGACCTTAGAATTCCCAACAAAATCTGAAGAAGGGGAAAGAAAAGGAAAAAGAACGGAAGTACCATCAGATTCTGAAGAAGAAGAAGAGGAAGAAGAGGACTACTCTAAAAAACAATACCCTCCGGCTGATGATAAGTACAAACACCTTGAAGAGCAACTAAGCGCTATGGAAATCCATAGAGTACCGAGGCTAGATTTTGAAGAGTTGGGGTTGGTGTCAGGAATTGTAATCCCGCCAAAGTTTAAAGTGCCACTATTCGCTAAGTATGATGGGGTGTCTTGCCCTAAAATGCACCTCAGATCGTACGTCAGGAAGATTCAACCACACTCTGCTGACAAAGATTTGTGGGTCCACTTTTTCCAAGACAGTTTATCATAAATGTAACTTGATTGGTTCTACCAATTAGAAAGGGCTGACGTCCATAATTGGGAAGACTTGGCAGCTGCTTTCTATAAACAATACCAGTACAAAGCCGACTTGGCGCCTACCCGTACTCAGTTACAGAGTATGGCTATGGCTTCCAATGAGGGCTTTAAAGACTACGCGCAAAAGTGGAGAGACCTAGCCGGAAGGGTGCAACCCCCTCTATCTGAGAGGGAGTTGGTGGACATGTTCTTGGGAACTCTATCAGGTCCTTTCTTCAATCATCTGATTGGGAGTTCTTCTGTAGGGTTTACAGAATGGATTCTAACTAGCGAAAGAGTGGAGGATGGTATAAGAAATGGGAAAATTCAGAAGGACGCATCTACCTCAACACCTGTAAAAAAGCCCTTCACGGGAAGAAAGGAAGTGTCTGCTGTCTATTCACAGAGGAATCAGGGAAGAACTGAGCGCCGACCAACGGTGGGGGCCGTTATGATTCCGTAGCCTGCATCAGACCAACCAAGAACTAATCAGCAAAGGTAGAAAGGCCAGTTCGGTAATTTACCAAGATTAACATGACTCCAACTCAAGTTCTACCACATCTCCTGAAGTTGAATCTGGCCACTTTGAAAGAGGCCCCAAAAAATCCCAATACTACTTCTCCACATTACCATCCCAACGCCAGATGCGCGTACCATTCTGAAAGTCCATGGCACGACACCAACAACTGTTGGGCTCTGAAGAATAAAATTCAAGATCTGATAGATGCGAAGGAAGTTGAGTTTGAAGCGCCTGAGAAACCAAATGTTATTTCCTCTCCAATGCATAGGCATGGTCACATTGCCAACGCTATTGAAGAAGATCTGTCTGTTGCTACCGTGGATGAACTATTAACTCCACTCCCGACTATTAAGTTAAATTTGTTGAAAGCTAGTATTTTCCCAGGATGTGACAAAGACTGCCATGTTTTCCTGTCCTCATCATTTGACTGCCCTCTGTTGAAGAAAGGTATCCAACGACTGATGGATAACCAAGAAATTTTGTTTGAGAATGCTCCTATTTCACCCGTTCCAGTGAAAGAAGTTTCAATAATAACCATCTACGCCAATCCTTCCAGGGCCCCTAAAAGACCCGTTAGGATTACACCTGCTCCAAAGACTGCTCCACTCAAGATTACAATGCCCGGACCTGCCCCGTACAAATTAGATAAAACAGTACCATGGAATTATGGTAGAGAAATCTACTATCATGGTA